TGGATCACTTTTTTATTGCCCCAACTGCCTCTCGCTTGGTGCATGGAATCCAGATGCACTGCAAAGGCATGGGACGGGAGACACAGTGGAAGGGGCATGGACTTGCTGGCTCCATTTCCATACAACGCAGCTTGGGAGAAGGCATGGCAGCGTGCTGACAGACTGAAAGGGTCTGTGGTAACACCAGCATGGAACCCAGAAGCCCATTCGCCCAGGTTCATCCTCAGGCGCAAATCCAAAGCCCAGTGCACAAGCATCTGGATCTCTAGCTTTCTTGATTGTGAACACAGACAATTCAGTGAAGAGGCCACAGACCAGGCAAGGGCTTAGAACTAAACATGCCACATAGCCATGCAACCTCATTTCACCAAACTCATCTTCTCAACTGTAAAAGGAGACTGACAAGTCATCACATCAGGCCAATATTAGCCCTTACCACCCAATACCTGAGACTGGGGACCATAATAAAGAAAGGAGGCCTTTTTAACTCAGGGTTCCTAGACGCTCAGGGCACATCACCAATGTCACCTCTGATCTGGTGAAGGCCTGGAGGATGGCACAAAAAATGGGAGGGTCTACGGGAGAAAAATCACACCACTCAACAGGAAAACAGAGAGCCAATGAGGAGTCAGGCTCGCTTTTCCGTAACTACCCGACCGAGTTAGGTTTCAAAAAACTTCCTTTAAAGGACATTCCCTTAGTGACCGAAAGAACAATCCACTAGGCCTCACCTCTAAAAGTCCCTCCATTCTGTGCGTACTTGGGAACCAAGCCTTGAACACTGAGTCTTCAAAGGACAAACCACACCCAAGTCATGGCAATCAAATCTTAGGGAATCACTGTGGTAATCACATGCGCATACGCTAAGCATTCAAAATAGTTAAATTACGCTACCAAAAAAGGACAGGAAGATGAACATTCTCTAGCCACGGCCGGATGGCAACCTTCTAAGTCTGTCTACCTTTAACCCTCAGCTAGTGACCAATCTCATTCCTGTGACCTACATTTGCAACACCCCAAGCCTTGAGGCAGCTACAGCAAACTCCCACACCAAACTTCCACTGCCCCTCACGGGCTCGCCCTCGTGTTCTGTTTTCATATGCGCCTTCAGACAAACAGATTTCTACCCAGGTTCTACCTTCACATGCACAGCAGCAACAACCACTTTCTCCACACACCCCCCCTTCCTCACCTCTAGTGAATTTAGGCCAAGCGCTGCATTCCAAAGCCATATTCCAGGAAATGTCCCCACCCACCAATGCACACATCCAGCTCAGAGGCCCTCCTTACTGCGCTGGGTCAAAGTCTCAAGTTCCCTTATCCACTTATGAAAAGTGTTCTTATGCCTTCGGCCTCGACATCATAACACTCGATCCCACAGCAAAGCTTCCAGAGGCCCTGCCCAGCCTTGTTATCCTGTGAATCATGACTCTCAATAGGATTGATTAATGGCCCCCACAGCTGCAAAACAAATATAAACTATACTTCAGGAAAAAAATAATAAAGTCAGTCCTCCCTTTCAGGGCAGCCGAAGAGGCTCCATAGGCAAAGGTAGGTTCCTGCAGTACAAACATGGTGCTTGAGTTTCTGGAACCCAACAGACGCCACAAAGTTGTTCTCTAACCTCCACAAACATGCTGACCCTTCAAAACACAGCTAAAATAAACCGCCCTGTCCCCTGCCCTTACACAGAGGCTCCTTTGTCTAGCAGCTCCATCTCAGGCCTTCCTTCCTCCCCTCATGCCTCTCTTTCTTAGTGCTGGAGATTCAGTTCAGACAGCACCCATCGACGGGGGTTTGCTTCCCTGTAGCTCATTTCCAGCCCACTGTGGAGCCAAAACACTGACCACACCCTCCATGCTTCTCCACGTTCGCACACACCTGGTGCTCCCCTGGCGAAGGAAAAATGGTCTCCTAAATTTATAAGCCCAGAAGCCTGCTTAGTGTCTCTCTGGTCCATGGGGGAACAGGCCTGAAGCATGCTTCCACACTGGGTCTCCTCTTTGCTCCGCCTTCAGTACCTGCTGTACCGAGTTCCCCTGCAGTTGGTGCCCAGCCCTTCCAAGTTAAACAGTTGTTGGTTTACCTGGTCCCAGGACCCCAGCACTGTAAGTCATAGTTCTGAAGGCAAAGCTAACCTGCATCCACTAACCCATGCTAGATCCACTGTGGGGCAATGTTACACGTTTCCACCAAGAACCCCAAGTTTGGAATTAGCACTTTCATGTACCCCTCTAATTAGCTCCGTAATCTCAGGTAAAAGGTTAAAATGGAGAGGGCCTGTCACCATGCTTACGTCTCAAGAAATTCCCATAGAATATTTAATGGAAACTTTTTTATATAAAATGCAAAAGTTCTATACATTTATAAAGAACCTGGCAACCAAGTTTTATCAGATTTAAAACAGCGACTGTAAGATGCGCATCATCACCAACTTTAGAAGAAAACCTTGTTCAGCTAGGGCGCATCTGTGATTAAAAGACCATCACACGTCCGTGGTAGTAAGACGGGGAGAAGGTGTCGTTCAGAACTCACTTAATAAAATCTGCCTCAATAAAAAAATAACAACCATATTTGACAGTGGTTCTGGTGCATAACAGGCGTTCAGCAACACATGCCAAGCAAATGAAACAACCCGTGATCATTTTCCTTAAGCCAAATTATCACCTCTCTCACTGAGCCTGGGCAGCAGGAGGCTTCTCAATGCCAGTTCTCTAAATCATGTTTCTGCCTGCTCGAAACCCTCAAAAATCATATGGCCTGGCATTCCTTAAAACCTTCCAGAACCAAGTCTCCTCTCCTACCTATCACTATCTGGAAATGTCTACCCTCTCAGAGAAGTCACCTCCTTACCAGAATGTCCCTCCACGAAGGGACACTCAATCCCAGCAATAATGACCATGCCAAGAACTGGCACCCCTCCCACTTTCTAAGTCCAACTCCAGATTAGAGCTGCTTACGAGGAATTGGGGGTGGGGGAGAAGAAGGAGGATCAGGAGATGCAAGACAAGATACTGTCCAAGCCTCAGGACCCCAGGCATGTCCCTCTACCCTTCACACAGCGAATCCTCACTAGACAGCATTCTGGACTCCACAGGCTGCTTTCGAGAGATTAAATACAAGATACATAATTTCCTCTTTAAACGCCCCTTGGTACTGGCAAGAACCTCGCCAGGAGACTCTTGGGACAGGAAGAACTTTACTGAGTTTCTGTAAACCACCACCACCACCCTCCCCCAAGCACACACCTCAATCCACCACTATCCACCAAAGACTACAGGGCTGGCACTCAACTTCTGCGGATCTGGATTTGTTTTCCTATTTGTAAAACTGAAGAAAAGCGGTCAGGCAGAGGTTTACATATTCCACAACAACCCCATACACTTTACCTCCCTTCCCCTAAAGGTGTTCTAAAAAGTTGCTTGGGCGGGGAGTAGTGAACCATTAAGTCACCAACATCTTTGAAAGAAAGTTTTATTGCGGAGGCAAGCTTGCAAAGGGGAGAGGGGGTCCAGACACAAAACACTGGAGTCTCCTGAGAAAGTCAGAAAGGATCGCTGGTGAGGTCTTGCTAGGCCTTCCTTGTGGGGGAGGGGAAGCAGTGGACCCCTTCCTAAACCGAACTGAGGTTAGAGACATTTTACATCACCGTCCGGTCCAAGTACCCAAGCCACAACTCCATGGCTATGGTCTCCTGTCATACTCCCACCTCAAAGCCATCAGCGCAACGTCCATTCCCCACCCTTATTTAGCTTTCTCTGGTCCGCAGTTGCCTCCCTAACAAGGAAGGCCTTGCCTTCCTTCAAACTAGTCAATCGCAAGCACACACAGCCCTCCAGGACCACTTCTGGCCTCTTCACAGAGATCGAAATATGCAGCCCCTTCCCGAGAAATCCCCCTTAAAAAAAAAGCCTGATCTTCGCGTTCTCCCCAGCCTTTGGCCCTTCTTCCTACTTTGGGTCAGGTTTAGCTCCTGCGTTCCAGGGAGCTCTCCCTGGGGGCAAAGTCTGGCCCGAAGTAAACTACAGTGCTTGAAAACTGTGGGGACTCCAAAACAGCTTACAGAAAAAGGCGGTCGGGGTCCTAAAGGCACAAGTCTTAGCCAGGGCTCCACCTTCCAGGAATGACTTCCAGGAAAGCCCGCCTCTCGGTGCCTCGCCAGCCCTGACTGTAAAATGGGAAGACTCTCGAGTCACCGGGTCCCTAGGCCCTTTCCGCTGTGACAACTGAGATTCCACGAAAGCTCGAAGCAGCCGGGCGCGGCCCCGCCCCCCTGGGCACCCAGAAAAGCCCGGGCCGGGGGGCGCTCGCAGAGGACGCCCGCAGCGTCGCCCCTCC